CATGCCACTGACCATTCTATGTCCTGGTTGGACTGATTTCCTTGTCGGACTGGTGCCCTGGTCGGATGGTACTTGACCAGTACTTGGATGGACTTATGATCTGCATACAGCCATTGTTTGCAGGCCCATCTAATGTCCACGGATCCACTGATCATATGGCCCAGCCATTTCGTGGACATCTTATATAGAGTCATAGACCAAAACATATATGAACCATCCTTAGGTTCTTATGGACACGCCTAGTCCATTTGGTCATACACCAATTGTATGGGCTAATGGTCTTGTCCATTATGGTCGATATTATTTCCTTATCTTTTGGTATGTCCATGTTATGTAATAGACCTTAACTATCACGTCCATAACCTATGAATTACCTCACCAGTTGCTGCAATGAATATTATGATCACATCCAACCATGGATCTGCAGCAAATGCTCATGGACCTTTAAACATGACTTATCGACCTTTCTTGCCTTTAGCAATACAATATCTATTAGGACTTAACCATGCCTACTTTTGGTCACTCTTTTGGACTCTTATAGTTTTCTTTATCCATTAGTATTAGCCTAATGGTCGTGCCTTCATTCAAGTCCCACACTATAACCTTTGTACTTAAACATCACATACCATACTTCCTTTAATGGTGTCCCATGACCTTCTTATAATAAGCCACGTACCAAAGTACATTATCATGGTCATGGACCTTACCCACACATGTCAATAACTCGCCAATGAGTGCCTAATGTTGCCATAACAACATGGCTTATGTGTGGTGATGTATAGGTATAGTTTATACTACATTGGTTCCTTAGGACCTTTAAACTATGCACCTTGATAGTTTAGTACCTCTAGGTCATAAGCACGTTTTGAACCAACATATTAACCATCTCCCCATGGATGATTTGGACTTAGAATGTATCCGGACCTAGCCTTGGTCGGTATGAACTTTGGTATGGACCAGATGGCTTCCTTAGCGTTTCCATACGTCCACTTCTTATGAAGTTTGGTAGTGCTGATTTCAACACATATGCCAATGACATAATCATTGAACCATCCATCCTTTCTATGGATTAGTTTACTATACACCTTTTGTATAATACACATGGACTGATTGTACTAAGTATTTCTTAGTATTCCATATTACTTGCAGCTGCATAATTTCAGTCCATGAACAGCTTAGGAACAATGCTGTTCTTGAGAATTCCTATCTCATTTTTCATGGTTTTCCTTTAACCATTATTCCAGTGAACCATATGCTACTTACTACCTCATTATATGTCAACTTCTGACCAGACATTTGCCAATTACGAATTTGACTAGTAGCATCCACCACTTGGGAGTTTATCTCCTCATAATATGTTCCTATGTCTCGTGTAAGAACATGAATACCCTGAGTTCATTTTAACCTTTTCCTCAGGGATTCATATACTCACAAGACCTTACTGGTTGATGGTGTTCCAATATGGCCAATACACACATCATATTTTTATATACTCTGAACCCCATGATTATGATATATGATTATGATCTATGAGTACTCTTTCATGGGTTCCTGATCCTCATTCCATTTCCATAAATATCAAGTGCTATTTTGCTTGTATGAGCTCACTTATATCACTGGTGTTAACACTCTCATATAGTTCCATTTTACTCAGACATGATCTAATCCATTTTAGATCTTATTTATCCAGGACCTTTCCTGCCTTGCAATCTTGGCGTCCCAAGCTTACATGGTCTGGTACCTTAGATGTTTAGCTGCGCAGCCCTTTTCTCAATGTCTGGTTAGTTTCCTTTGAACTCGGATTCTATGCACCTTTCATATCCTTTTCCGAGGTTTCTTCCTTTTGGAACTTATTAGTCTACCCTTTAGACTTTATTGCAACTTGATTATGTCTCTCCTAGGACATTAAACTCGTGGTGCATAAGCTGGTATGACATAGTCATTTATTCCTGGGTCTATGTGTCTTGCATATTGTTTTGCTAGCATTGTATCATTCCTTGATATCATATGGACGTCCAGAATGTTATATTCTAGTCCGAGGATCTTGCCAAGACACTAATGGTTAATACCATTGTTTTATCCAGCTTATATCTTTCTCATTTCCATGTTGGATAGTTGGATTTACTTCCTTATGTAATCCATGTACCTAGCCATATCCTGATCACCCATATTTGGCTCAAGGTTTATTATAAGAGAAAGACTTTATAAATATCCAACATATATTCCCATTCCCAATCCTCAATCCTCATTTGAGGTTCCCATTTGAGGTTCCATCTTATATGGCACATTTTCTTGTGGTGGTTTAAATCTCTTAAGATTGTTTATGTCTGATCCATGACCCTTATCAATCTGAGATGGGAATATCTATGCTCACTCATATGGCCTGATGCATAAACTCTTATACATGTATAAAATGCATACAAACTTGGCCCGGATTATTATTTTAGTCGAGATGGCCAGGTTGGCCGCATATGGCCTTACTCGGCTAGTTCCGGCCAATGTGGCCCATTCGGTTCTGTGCTCACAGGCGGCCAACGTGGCCCGCCCGGCTTCCCTGACACGAATGGCCTGCTGGCCCGTCCAGCCTCCTTTGGCCTGTCCAGCGCTATTTGGTCCGACCAGTACGGTTGGTTTGGCATGGACAATATTTCTTGGAGTTTTATTTGTATGCCATGATTGTCCCTAAGCATATTGGACGTGGACCCTATGTCCTATAAAGTTGTCCAACCACCTATGGTCATAGACCATGGTTCCCGGTTTAGTATAGTTCATGTAACATGGGATTCAACCTTTTCTCCCCCTCATGAACATACTCCTATTTTCATGGTGCTTAGGACAATAAAGCCTATAGAGTTTCCTTGTGTACATGTTACACAATGTGAGATCATCCATGGAAAACTCTTTGTGCCATTTTAATTTAGAGTAGTATCATACCTAAACTCCCACTAGGTGGGTGTATAGGTTGCATCAAGTTAAGGATTGGATGGCTAATCCAATTATGCCGTATAGTGTTAAAATTCCGTGGGTAATCTACTAGTTACCATCACACTTGCCACTGATCTTCTAGCATAGTTTTAGATCAGTATAGTACATAGGGTAAAGTATTGACCATATCAATACATAGGCAATTTTAAAAATTTTGAGAAAACCCTCTTGTTTTCTTTTGTGTCCATTTTTTTTTCATCCTTGGAAACTATCATTATATACTCAATGGACCACGAAATTTTGGGTGTATACCTTGCCATTTAGGCAATGCCACAGCCATAGATACCAACTAGGCGACCATACCCATCATATGTACTCTTGTTTGGCCTTTTATTACCAATAAATGTCATTCACATGTACCAAACAAAACCAGGCAAGATAAATGAATTTAAAACCTTTTCATTATCATAAGTGAATGTGTGAATGACTTAAAAAAAAAATCAAAACAAAGCATAAAGCTTAACACCAAAAACAGAAAATTTATATCCTTAATCAAGGTATAAACTGGCCCCACATTCCACATGTGTCCATGAAGGCTTTTTGGATTCCTCCTTTTCATGTTTAGGTGACTTCCTCTGGTCGGATGTTTGAGACCCCTTTGGGTTGAGTGTTTCAATCTCCCCATGGTCGACAATTTCAGACTCCTTTGAGTTGAGTGCTTGAGACTCCTCATGGTCGAGTACATTAGACTCCTCCTGACCATAGTCTGAGACGGCCATGTTGTCCATGTAGGCTTTCATGGCTGCCATCCGTGATGCACCTTCCAAGTCCCTTTGACTTAAGGTAAGTTTTTGTGTGCATTTCCCACTCAACATTATTATCACCAGATGTGTCAAGAAGATTGTATTCTATGACATCCCACTTCCAAATCTGAAATTGTTTTACCAACCAGATTTTAGTTCTCATAAAATTTGCAAGTCCCAAACAAGCAATTTAAGTGTATGGTTCCTTAATGATCTCGACCATATCATGACACCCAAGGTGTGAGAACTTATAAGTGGTCGAGATCTAACCAGCATGGTCAAGCAATACACCATGATTGCAATATCAATCAACCAAATGATTTTAGCAATTCTAGTAACCATAGAATTCTATAATATTAGACCATAAATAAATTGGACCACATTAGGTTCAAGCAAACAAAATCCATGGATTATGATGCAAGCAACCTAGTACATGAGTTCTATATGATCATATGGAAACAAGCAAAGTGTACAAGTCATTGTTAAGCATTAGCAACCAACAAATAAGCATTATCATATGATCCGGTTTTTAAAAATTAATTAGAACCCAAAATATCCAATTTCGTCCTAGCATTAGATTTCTTATACATATAACATAGCCAGATGATCAAGCAAGCATGGAAAAAATAAATAAAAACCAAGCATTGCAAGCTTCCAAGAAATCGGATCCTTTTAAAATAGGTTTTAGGGTTTCAAAGTTTGAAAAATTTGAATGCAAAGGTTTTGCTTCTAAAAATCCATTCAATCAACACATAGTCTCAGGATGATCAGTTTTACCTTATAAACTATCAAGACTTATCAGGTTAGGTCGATTTTATTTTTAGAACAAAACCTAAACCTAGTTGGATTAGGAATATCAAAAACTAGGGTTTTCAAACAATTCATCAAGTTTGGTTCTAAAATAAATTTAGCAAACAACCACATAGTCTCAGGTATCTCAGTTTCCATATTTAAATTAGCAAGACATGTTAAAAGGTGGTCGGATTTATTTTAGTGCAAGTCCTAAGCCAAATAGGATTTTAATGCAATTCCTAAACCTAATAGGATTATGACCAAACTAGGGTTTTCAAAACTTTTTTAAAATTCCGAATCATGCAACCAAGCAAGTACACATTACAAGCAATCAACAGGTTCATGAGATCATCAAATATCAAGCAAAGATCATAAGAATTTCAATTTTAGGTTAGAGATCTAAGCAACTCGGAATTTAGGGTTCATGCGCATAGGGTTTTAACAAAACAATTCATTCAACCATGAAAACCAATGAACCTAGCACTCGTTTTTAATTTTAAACACAACTAGATAGATCATATTATCATTCTAGAACAAGCCTAGGTCGTGCAAAAGTATCAGGAACAGATCTAACAATTTAAGCAACTTAGATGTGTTCATGCGCATAGAAAATAACTAGGGTTTTAGCAATTTTAATCAATTCAACCATTCAGCCAATCAGCCTAGCATTCAAACTCAATGTTAAAGACATCTAGATGGATCATATTAGTATATTAAAACAGACATAGGTCGTGTAATTAGCAAGATCAGATCTAGGGTTTTTAACAATTTCAATACCAATTCATGTGTATTAGGGTTTTAGCAAACTATCAATTTGATTCAAGCAACCTATGAATCTAGCATTCGACCTCAATGACATAAGCAATCAGATAGTTCATATTAACATGCTAAAACAAATTTAAAACACGAAAATATCCAAGTCATAGCTAGAGTTTTATGCAAATCAGATTTAGTGTTCATGCTCAAATTAGGGTTTAGGTTAAACCATCTTTCTAAACCTCAGATCTAATTAATTCAATGATCAAACAAACATATAGTCTCAGGGTGATCAATTTTAATAAAAGTTTATCAGATCTACTGCAGCAAGAACAATTTAAATCAATCAAAGAACAAGATTATGAAAATCGGATCTAGAGAGAGAAGCAAACAAAACCGTTTTTATGCTTTAACTATCTAGGGTTTTCATTATCAATTTGATCAAACTCAAAGCCACGAAATCTATCAGTGTGAATTCCTAAGAGATTCAACATAATTATCATGATAAAATTAAGCAAGCAAACGATTTTATCAAGCATAGATTTCGAGTATAATCAATTAGGGTTTTAGGTTAACTTTTGTTCATGAATACAAGTTTGTATTCATGCACATAGTTAGGCTTTTAGGTGATCAATTGTTGTTCTTTATACTCACCAAAACATCATAGATTAAAGGGGGGGGGGGTCGAAACTCATATCCTAGAGTTTAAGTTTTCATACCTCAAACCTCATTGTTTCTGAATGGACCTCCTTAGGGCAAACCGGTTTGGATCTTAGGAGAGAGAGAGATCGAATCACCTTTAATCCTTTAGCTAAGGCTTTACACCTGCAAAGTAAGAGTTAGCAACAGATTTCTTCTTCAAAATAACGTAATAAATTGATGAAGAAGTAAGGTGAAAAGCGTTTGAGTAAGAGAGAAGTTTCTAGGGTTTCCCGGATTGGAAAAACAGAAATTTAGCCGCCGTCTTGTTTTGGTGATTGCGGTTGATTCCGGTGTCTGATTGACGCGATTTTTGAACTGCTGGATTCCTCTCTTCAAGAGCTTCAAATTGATATGTAGATCGCCATCTAGTTCCTCGTAGTTTGAGAGATACGTCAATTTGAAGTTGCTGCAGAGATTAGGGTTTCTGCAGCCGCCAAGAGAGAGAGAGAGAGGTCGATTTTTATTCACTCTTTAGCTAGAGCTTTACACACACCTGCAAAGTAAGAGTTAGCAACAGTTTTCTTCTTCAAAATAATGTAACAAATTGAAGAAGAAGTAAGGTGTAAAGTGTCTTAGTAAGAGAGAAAATCTCTAGGGTTTCCGGATTGGAAAAGGGAGATTTTAGCCCGCCGTATTGTTTTAGAGATTGCGGATGCGTCCGGTGTCGGATTGATGATCTGTTTGAACAGGTAGATTCTTCTCTTCAAGAGCTACAGATTGATAGGTGGATCGTCGTCTGGAGCTTCGTGGTTAGAGAGATACGGCGTTTTGAAGTGGCGGCAGAATTAGGGTTTTTGCTTAGGGTAGAGACTCGTGCTGATAACGTGTTGTGGAATAAATGAGTTGTTGTAACTTTGTATATCTTATTAATCTCGTGGTACATACACATATATATATATACATGAGAATAAAGCATATTCCTTAGGAGATAAGGATTACAACAATAAAGGGGATGATTATCCTAATCCTATAATGATTAGGATAACTACAACATATGGATAAATACAAGGGAGGATAGTGACTGATGCTTGGCCGCCTGATATGGATACTGAAGTGGGACTGATGTGGTCTGGTCCATTTCCCGGATATGTCCCAACCACCATCTTCATTTCTTAACAGAATCTATATATATAAAAGAATGTTTGCCTCACTCAAGCCAATCCACGTCACTAAATACCTTCCCATCGAGATGACACGTGTTTTGGTGTACTGGGCCTCGCCTTTGATTTTACTTGGGCCAGAGATTAAACGAGACGGCCTGTTTCCCTTATCTTCGACAACCTACGGCCTAGGAATCCTTGCATTTCAGTTTTAACGTACGATGTATTGTCCCATTGCGTTGGTTTCCAATTTACTTATTCCAAAAAATAAAACAATTTTCTCGAACAGAAGAGGCTCACTATATCAAAAAACATCGATCCCCTCTCCCACATTAAAAAAGATAAACAGTACCTATCTCAACGACAAGAGTCGAATGCAAATGTTAGAACCAAAGAATTACAAACAAACAACGGTAACGAAGAGTACAAAAATAAAACATGGTACGTATCGGTTTAAAATAAAAATACAACAATCATGTAGAGAGCTTTATTTTACATGTACAAGCGTGGGAGTTATTACTCATTTCCAAACTCAAGAATAGAAAATTATAAAATTACGCAAAAAAACGTATTCATGGAAAACGAATATCAAGCATTAAACAACACTAATCGACTACCCACTCACCACCGCCACGCAGGGTACACAACACCGACTATGAAATCGAATTACGAAAATAGTAAATTACGGAAAAACAAAACGTCTAAATAAATGTTATTATTATCAGATCTGTAATTAACCCAAAAAAAGTAACCGCCTATTTCATCAACTCCTACTAGCCTAGGCTACACCCTATATAAACAAGCTATTGAGAGACGAGGATTCACATCCACCACACAAATAACATAAAAAAGAAAAATAAAAATGTCGATTCAGAGACGTCCTCTGTCTAGACTCGAAAGTCTTCCACAAGAACTTCAGACTGAGATCATCTCTCGAGTCGCTAAAAGCTCCCGGAGAGATGTCCGCAACCTCATGGAAGCGAGTCCAAGAATGGCAAAAGCGGCAGCTCAACCACCGGTCTACAAAAACATCAACCTCCGCCCACTCACCGTGCATCCCCGCGCTTCCTTGACAAAGTAAAAGGATCTCATGGACGTTACACTCGCCGCCGGCAACATTGAAGCTCACTATGTCCGTGGAATCCAGGAGTACTTCCACAAAAACAATGCAACAGTGTGTCTCGCCCATCTCAAAATCGCAGCTCAAGGTTCGTATGACAACGGGATCTACCTTTACGGAATGATTATGTTATGCAGGGGACAAGAAGAAGAAGGAAAAGCTATGGTGGAGAAGCTGGGTTGGAGACAAAACCCGATCCGTGTGGACGAAAGCTGGAAAAACATCAAGCGCTCTCTTCATGGAATTACTGTTACAACCCTAGACAGTTACCTTACTGCATACGAAACATCAATGGAAACAATCAACTGCCACCTAGAAGACATCAATGCTCGCTGTGCTACATGCTTCTACTTCAAGCAGATTACCAAATTCGTTTTCATTATCTAATAATGTTATGCTCTTTCATGTTTTCTTTCGCTAATGCACTCCATCATTCTAAATAAAATTAGTACGTTTGAGGAACACGGATTACAGAACAAAACCACATGCAGACTTATGTTACTCATACAAAAGTCAATCAATGATGCCAAATTAAAAAGTCAAAAACTAAACAATAATTAACACAAAAAAAAGGGCTAAACTTGCACAAAAGATAAAATAAAATATACAAATTTTAAATATACCGGAAAGAATAAACAACCAAGACACAAAAACCCACACAGTCGGAATATAACATAATAAGCCGATGATATATATTATAGACATAACATAATAATCCCCAATAATGAACAACCGGCGCATAACCATACGATGAAGAGAATACAGATTTCTTTTCTTTCCGTTAAACTGCACTCCCCATACATTTTTAAAAAATACTATACACAATATTATTTTTTTTGTTTTTTGATAGTGCTTAGGATAATAATGCTTAGAGTAATCCAAATAATATGGCCTAGCTAACTCTTAAAAATGAAAAGCAGAGTAATGTAATGATATAACTTTTTACCTTTCCCGTCAAAGTTATTTCTTTTAAAAATCCATTGACATATTTTGAGATGACCACATATTACTCATGGGAACAGTAGCCAATATATTATTTTCCACATCTGTGAATTGATGCGGATAGCTAAACGTGTGATAGAAAATTGCGTGTTTCCTTCCTTCGCTTGCAGTTGTATACATCGAACACATGGCTAGAACAACTCGATAAGTTGGATTTATAGTTTCCTAGATAAAATGATTCAATGATACAGCCCCCATAATGCTTTCCTTTAAAATATACATGCACTAATCATATACATTATCAACATAAACAAGATAATAATATACTATTTAAAATAATAACA